AGTTCCTAATGTCTTAAATGCTCCATGCGACTAATTTTTTAGTTCAAAATGATGATATTTGGAAGAAACTAACTTGTTATTGTTACAGTAGAACTTTGTATGCATTTTTTCATATGAGGTTATTAAGAAGTTTAAACTGTGATACATTTAAAAAAGGTGATATTTTCCCGAAACTGGGTTTAAGTTCACAAAAGCCTTTTTAAATTTTTGATTTATCTATTAAAGAACGGATACACAATCTTTTGTTAAGTCTTTATAACTAACTAAAAGAAAAATTAGGAAAAATCTTGAATTAGAGCGCAAGGAGCATTTTTAATCTTTAATTAAATAAGATTATTGTTTAATTTTTTTAATTTAAAATAAATTGAAGTTTTGAACTTTTTGATAATGGTGGGTGTATAATATGTATATGTGTAAAATTTCTTGTTGAAAACACAAAAACTTAAAAAACTACTTATTAAAATCCACCGTCTCCTTAAGTTGTTAAGGCTTTATTCAGCTCGTTATTCTTGAGTAGAAAGTGTAACAAAGGCGAGAGACGGTTGCGAGGAAACATCTGGTTTATTGGTTTATGGCCTTTCACTAACAATGGAGGTAGTAGGGTGTTGTATTGTCGCCTTTTACTAGTGGCGTTTGAAACGAAAATCGTCTTGCATTCGCTTTATTACAGTTCCAATTTTTTTTTACTTCAAGACATTGGGGGTTCTTGTAAGCTTAGGTAATTGGATTCTCGTATAGCTTAGTTTCAGCTTGTTAGTTGGGGGGGGGTCCACTTTACTTCCCACGTTGTGTGTATAGATGTTTTTTGGACTCCATTGTCAGATTTTTCTGGTTTTTGATTCGCTGTGGGGGTGTAATTTTCTCAGTTTAGATAAAGTAAAATTTTGGCATTGGTTTGATTTTTTTTTTTTTTTGGTAAGGCAATGGAATTTTCGCGGGGTGGAGAGGAAAGTTTACTTCCGTGCTTGCGCCAGGCTAGAATTCATTCGGATTCTGATTTTGAGCTAAAGGAGGAAGAGGAGAAAAGAGTGAGGGCTTGACCCCTTTGCTGGTCTTGCTCTCGCGAGCGGCGTGTACCAGCGGGCTCCGGTTATGGTTTTTCCTTTGGCGTCTGATATGGAGTGATTTTGAGCAGCGGTGATGTGAAAGAAAAGGGCAAACGAGAGGCGCCTTGCTCTGCTGCCGGCTTTGCCGTGCGGCCGATTGCAGGAGCAAGGCTTCGGTTGCGTTTTTCTTTGCTCTAGTTTTGTGTGAGAGATGCAAAAAATATTTTCTTGTGAGATGTCTAGAAAAACGTGCGCTAGCTGCAAAGAGTATTTCAATGAAAGCTGATTACTGCTTTAGTGCGAGATATAGAGCAATCTACCAAGAAAATTTAGCATAGATTTTCTCTCTTCACCCGAATCGCAGATTTATCTCCAAGAGCTTTTTTCCGAAATATTCAGCATAAAATGTTGATTCGCCGCTTCGATGATGCAAGTGATCGTGCTAAAACCTTGGTATATTAGCTACTGTTTTGAATTGAAATAAAATCCTTCTAAATTGGCATGGGTTCCCACCTATGGACAGATAAGCGATTCCGGCTGTTTGAAGACTTTTATTTCCCCGTGATTTAATAATTTTAGCCCTTCCGAAGGTTTGACAGAAGAAAATGTGCTTGGTCACTCCCTGGACACTAAGGAGCTGCTACCGAAAAACTGTCTTCATCTGTGAGTGAAAAATTTAAGATTATTTTCTCTCTTTTCTTATTTTCCCAATGCTTGGTGGAACAGTTATATGATTTATCACCATGTATATTGTCGTTATTTGTAAATTAAATATTACAGTTATAAATTGAGAAGTGATTATTTTCAAGTGATGGCCATTTTTGGATGTTTAAATTTGTTTCACCTACTGAGTTTGTAGTCATAATGTTAGTTTCAAATTATAGACCATTTATTTGGAGAAAAAAAAATAAAATAACCTTTTAATTTGGAAAAATGTTAATTATTAAATGTTTTATATGTAAGCTGAAATTTTGTGTGACAGATCGATATTTTCATAGTACAAATATGTGGTATTAAATGTTTTATTATTTAAGCTGAAATTTTGTGGACAGTGCGAATATTTTCATATTAAATGTGGTAGGGATCTGATCAGTTGCCCAAGTATTTACTAATAATATTCTATATTCCAAATTTAATAATGTGTTGATTTAGAATTTTATTGCACTTGTTTATTTTGTGTTCTAACTTACGGTTAAGCGGTAGGCTTTTAAGAACATGGAGCTTTAATTGAATTTGGGTATGTTTTCTTTTTTAGGTTTATTAACCACGCGACCTATCTTTTGCCTAGAGGAGAATTTGAATTGAATATGATTTTCTGTTCAATGTATATGATTAAATATCTATTTTGAGTTTTTTGGGTAGGTCCGGCACACAATGAGCCGTTTAGGTTTTAAAAGCTATAAAAAATTAAACTTAACCCCCCCCCGAATTTTTAGATATCTAACAGCTTCGTCGTCAACTTTATAGAGTTTAAACGAATTGCGAAACGAACTTATCTTTCCCCTCCTTGCTTTCAGCACATGCGAGAACGGGCGAATTTCATCCGATATGCAGAAGTCGCGTTACAGCTAAAGAACTGTGTTTGTTTAATGTTGAAATTGGTGGAATTTATTATTATTTATATTAACCAGAGGTAGTTTTTCTATTTCGACGTTTCCATTGTGCTATGCATTTATTTTAAGACTGATTCATTTTCATTTTAAGCTTCTTTCAAATTTCCATATAACAATTGATAATTTGTTGAGTTATTCGAAACGTTTTGCGGTCGGTTTTTACATGATATATACGAGTGAAGCAGTACAAAAACGTCAGAAAATTTCATTGAATAACATATGCAACCATTTTGCTCTAAAGATTTCTCCCATTTCTTCAGCAGCTGGAAAATTCCATTTTTAGTAAAACGTCATTATATTTATTTGCAGGGGCGTATCCTGTCTTTTCATAATTGGCATGCTGTTAAACTCAGAATTTTAAAAACGCGTTTATCAGTCAGTGGCGTTTAGCATTCAGTACATTCAATATTTAGTTATTATGCATTTCTATATTAACAGACAAAAAAAGTATAAATAAAAAAATTTTAAAAAAACTTAACCAGTTTTCGGTTCTTTTGTGTATAAACAATTTACATTCAGGATACATATATTATTTGGTTTGTAGAGTTAGTAAGATTTTTTGGGAAGCATGAGACATGAAAAATGCGCAATGCCCTCATCGGCGCTCAAACCTGGACCTCTGGAATACGCGCCGAGTGTGCTACCGTTACACCACGAAGACATGCTGGAAGGAGGAAAAAATATCTTATATACTCCCCCTTTTAAAGGGCGATCGGGGATTAGGAACCCAGTCTCCAAATCCTGGTGTTGATGAATTATTGTCCACCACCTTTGTTCGGGCGGCCTCCGCTTAGTTTTTGAAGATGGAAAGGTGAAAAACGTGCTAAGTGTGATATCGTTACCCCCACACGAAAGCATGTTGGAAGGAGGGAGAAAGCTCAAAAGTCTAGAAATAACACTTCGATTACAGTAATTAAAATTGAAATTATTTGAATGTCTGTCTAAAGTTATCTACCCTTCTATTTTAAATAGTAAATAACATATTCATAAAATTAAAAGGTGCTTTAACTCTTAAAGAAGTTTTTCGATGGGTATGCTGAGTGCACTTAATTTCTGTTGTGTCTGCTTTATTCTGATATAATTATTAATTCTTCTCACTGCTGAAAATGGCCGTCCTACTGATGCTGTTGAAGCTGGTGTTGATAGAATGAGTGCAAATATTGTTAGCATTCATAATATGATACTAATTTAGGTACAAGTTTACTTCCAAACTCCGCAGAACAACATAAAGCAATGAGTTTATTCTTAAGCTTTTCAAATTAAACAGTTCGCAATATGGACTGGCAATTTAGTTTGTTTCGTAATATTTTGAGAAAATTAGAATCATTTTTAGAAATGGAAAATCCTTTCTAGAAATCTGAATAAAGGGTGAAAATAGGGGATATCGTGAAGAAAAGATGGTTTCCTTTTGTTATTATTGACACTGTGTCTTCCTGACGTTATACGCTGTAACCATTCTGTAGTTTAGACTTGACATTAAAATGGTTTTTGGTGCTACAGGTCTGCTTCCATCAAACTGACATTAAAATGGTTTTTGGTGCTACAGGTCTGCTTCCATCAAACTGACATTAAAATGGTTTTTGGTGCTGCAGGTCTGCTTCCATCAAACTGCATGCTTTCTACGCAAATTCTAGCAGATCAAGTTGCTGTAGTTATTACACATGTCAGTGACTAAAGGAATGAAATACTATTGTTAATGTGGCAGGGAAAATGAATTTCTTGAAAATATTCCATGCAGAGATTTATTTATTTTGACTCCAGAGTTGATAATTTCGAGGACATGACGGCCAAACGGGATAACCTATTAGCACGGATGTTATTTATCCGGGCTCAGATCGTAAGTTTATTTAAACCGGCTTCAAATCCTTGCGAATCGGCTGGTTGCATAGGCCTTCGTTTTTTCCCCTTTGTTCAATACAAGTATGAGCCAATATTCCCTTAGAAAGTCCTTAATGAATGCCTTTGTCAGATAGGGCTCGCATGGTTCACCGTATCGAATCCAATCCCCAGGATAATTTCCATACCCTCTGCATGATCGTTGTTTGCCTCTCCCTCGACTTCCATTTCCCCAAAAATTAAATTCTACTGTTTTCCATAATGCTTTCAAAATGGCATATGCCTTGTTATTATTAATAATTACGTTTTTAGCTGATTCACTGTATATTTTTGTTGAGTGGAATTCTATTGTAAATTAACTTCATCATGTTCGTACAGTTCTTTTCTAAGGAATAATATAATATTAATTTTTTATGTAAATGATCCTTTCTGTTGCTTTAGTTTTACAATATCTAGTTGTATTTGTTTCCATTGTTATTTTATATTATTTTAGGGAATTTTTACCTCGTGGAAGTGGTGTTGTAACAAGACGTCCGACAGTTGTTCAGTTGCAACCACATCAAGGAGAAGGTATGTTATACACATCTCTTAACATTACTTACAATGTGCTGCTCCACATTATATAGATATTGCCTGTTATCTAACTTAGGACGCATTAAATGTGAAAAACAATTATGGAAAGAATAAAAAGCTGGCTGTCAAATTTCTGCATGAAACAGTCGAAATATTAAAAGATGTAGAAAATTTCACTAAAGGTGTGAACGAAATAAGGGTGTATGAACTTAAATTGTGAAAAAAACCTGAGGACATCACAGAAAGATGATGCAAATGTTTGAATTCTAGAAATTCAGAATCCTGCACAGTGGTTCAGAATGAGCTGTTTTCTGCCCCTAATAATTCCTGAGTTTGCCTTTCACAGTACTCACCAGAACTATTACAAAATATCAGAACAGTGGAAACGTATCAGAACAAGAAAATGTATTAAAAAGCTTTGTTTTTGTTTAAAGTAAAACTTTAAACCTAATATTCTAAAATATGATTATTATTATTTTCTTTAATCGTCGATATTATCTAAGTTTGTTCCATTTCTTATTTTCTTTCTGTATATAATACGGTGACACAAGGTTTCACGCGTACATTGTAGAGAATTCTTAATCAGAGTTCCTTACAAATTTCATAACAGTTACAGGTGTGACGAAAATTCGCAGATATATTAAGAGTATTTGGAACTGAGTTCTGAAAACTATATTTTCGAATAAATTGCAAAAATGTTCAAAGGAACTGTCTTTTAGTGTCTCTTTTTCCGCTTAAGTAACAGTAACATAAATAAGACTCAGTAGTTTTTTCTCTCATTGACGATTACTTCTTTATTAATGTAATCGTGGTCACAATTTTAAAATTTAAATTTAAATGGTAGTTATGATATTGGATTTAATTATAATATATGAGATTTGATTAATTAATTTATGAATATGGGAGGCATATCAAGAATAAGTTATTATTGAAATGTCTGGTGATTCTTTGAACCATACATTAGCCAGTAATTTCTTTTAAATATTTGATATGGACAACCCATAACTTCCTTGTACGGCCTATTAAATTATACATATTCTTCTGCTGCACTTCATTTAAACTTATTTCCTCGAGTTTCATTATATTCCTAATTCAATCAGTTCAATTTTCCCTTCCCGGCAAGGCAAAAATTCTTAATAACTCAAACTTCATTAAAAATTACAAAATACAGAAAAACTTAAAACATCAAATACAATTAAAAACAGCTAAAAAAACAATTTTTACAATTAAAATTAGAGCTCGAAACAAAAACAAGCAATTCGACCAGCGGGCAGGAAGAGAAAACTTTCAGTGCACAAAATTTAGTTGCAAAAAGACACTGAAGTTGGTGCACCAACTGATGTACTTCACTATTCTTTTAAGAGTTTCAGATATAAACAAACAACAGCACCACTTAGCACAATTTAAACTTTTAAATTATTGATAATGCTACAACGAATGCATGCAGGTTAACTAAAGGCATAAAAACCTTAGAAAATAAAAGCAATATAATTCAATCACTTTTAGATGAAAAAATGCACAATGTTATGGCAGTCCCCATACACAAATCTCAACGTTCTATGGGTACTTGTTCTTAAGTTATGCGAGATAAATACGTAGAGACGTCACGAAATCTCTTTTGAATCCATTTTACAATTCATTTAAAAAAAAAAGAGTCCTTTATTCTCTCCGTACGTACAAGTATCACACAAAAACATCGTTCAGACGGATTCGAAACCGGTCAAAGTATATATTTTCGTTGAAATATGATAATTTCCCTCACTATGATGAAATACCTTGTAAGGATCTTATGTTTTACTAAGTTATTTATTTAAATTTTACTATCCTTTTATTTCACTCCGGCCAAATATAAGCGTGAAGGAGTTATGCAAGTGTCTGGCAACGCCAAGTATTTAGTGTGGCCTTTTTGCCAAGCGAGGAAGGAAGCCGGAGTCGACGAGGCCGCTTACTTAGAAGTTACGCAGTTGCTACTTTGCCTTCCAGGCAAGGTTTAATCCTCTTGATAAATTAAACGATTGTAGTGTTAAGTCTCTGTGTACATACGCTTCTGTTTTATAAGGCCATTTTTCTAAAGTGAAATTAGAGTTTAGTTTATTTTGATATCTTTTATTAGACCCGATGGGCATGCATTCCGAGTACGAGTATTGATATAAGAAAAAAAAAGGGTTTGTATACCCTTCGTCTGTTCCGTCTACTACTAACAATAGTGAACATAGCTTTAGTAAGCTCTTGTCTAGTCAGGTCATTGTATTTCCGAGAAGGTAGAAAACATGACTGATAGTGGCCCCGACGAAGATAACCAGGCCGAGTTCAAGAAGAACCTGTGCGCCGCAGAAACAGCTCAGATCCAGAAATGCCAGCTGCCGCCCTGGAAGGATTGGTATATGTCCAACACATGCCCTCGATGAAACCAGAAGCAACGTATGGAAATCACAGGTAACCAGTTTTTGGAAATTGGATGACCCTTATGCTCTACCCCGTGCACGAGTTCAAAAGTACCTTAGTACACGCTTTGAGGGGCCAAGCTAACTGTTCAAATGTATCGGCAGAGTCTCTTGGGCAGAGGAAGTCCCACCTAACTACGAAATTCAAGACTGCCCTACTAAAAGCCTTTCCTGTTGTAAGGGATCGTGCGAAATTAGAACAGAACTTTTCAGTACATATACAAGAAGGAAACCTATCGAGTTTTAGTTTAAGAAAAATTCACGTTTTCAAGCTCTTGTAGGAACCGTCCGTCCGAATATTAAGTGATTTTGCCGAGGTTCTACCCAAGTGAAGACTTTATTGATTGAGAAATCCGACTACACTGGAAAATTTTTGAGCTAGAATCCGTTTGAAAGTAGAAGAACGGCGGACGTCGAAAATGAAGACGCCAATATCAACAGCGAAACCAATTTGGTACGCCAAGACTACAGCAAACGAAGCACATGGCTACGGAAAAAAAAAGCGAATCAGTGGGCAAGGAAACCCGAGCATTCAAAAACAGCCGGCGACGTCGACAGTTCAATAGCAACCCAGGAAAAAAGTTCAAGGCCAGTGGAGAAAGAAGGAAAGCACCGAAAGAAAAATAATTTAAACTAAAACGGATTTCTGCTGACGAGAGGGTGCGGAAATCCGAAGGCCACGAAAACCCTCTCCTACAAGTTAAATACAGTAATGTGAAAAAATTAACTCTTCCGAAGATTGAAGTCTTGGTAAATAATATCCCGGCCACCGCACTCCTGGATACCGGCGCGCAGTGTTCCCTGTGTGGCAGAAGTCTTTTAGAAAGTATTTTCGCAAATACCGCATATATATGCGGATAATACAACAGTATTACGGCGCAAGGAGAACAATGTAAGTGCGTAGGTAAGTACTTTGTACATCCGTATCAAGGACGAACAGTAAGTGATGTTTTTTATAGTAAGAATTTGCAAGCAACTTAATACTAGGAATAGACTTTCTTTCAGACGCACAAGCTACACTGGATTTTAATGAGCGTCTCTTAAGCTGACGATGAAACCAGTGCGTGGGAAAGGTTGAACCGCCGAGGTTAATCTGACCACCTGCCTAATGACGAGCAAGATAGAATCCGACAAGTGGTAAGTGAATTTGGCTCCTTATTTAGTGATATTCAGGATTTACCCAGGTTACTAACATAGTATGACACCGGAGATGCATTGCCGGTTCGTCAAAACCATACCGGTATGATAGAATAAGGAAAAAATTATAGATGGCATATTACCGATATGCTACGTAAAAAGATCGTAACGCCTATCTCAAGTAGTTATGCTAGTCCGGTGGTTTATGTAAAAAAATAATGATTATCCTTTGGAGCATCCAAAAGGTGGAGATTCGCTATTGATTACCGTAAATTAAATTCCATAACGAATATCCGGTATATCCGTTACCATTATAGAGAAATTTAAGGAACATAAAATCAACCAAATTTATGACAACTTAGACTTAACGAATGGTTATTTTCAAATAGGGATCAGGCCTGAGGACGTGCCTAGACTGCTTTTAAACCAATCTGGCACTTATGCATTTTTGCGAATGCCGTTGGCATTTCAGGCGCCCCAGCAACATTTCAGCGATGCATGGACATTGTGTAAGACCTGTTCTCGAAAGTCCACATTTATCTATTTAGACGATATCATTATTACTAGTGATAATCTAGACCAACATGTACAGGATTTAAGACAGGTGTTTTCTTTATTAAATGAGGCCGGTCTAAAAGTTAATGTCGAAAAATGCAAATTTGCAGCCCCTGAATTAAAATATTAGGTTACAAAATATCGCAAAAAGGGATCGAGACAGATGAATCAAAATAAATCGCTGTACAAAAGTATCCGACTCCAAACACGGCAAAGAAGCTCTCTTCTTTTCTAGGACTTTGTTCATATTATAGGTCCTTTATAAAAGATTTTGCGGCTATCGCTGAGCCATTGTTAAAATTAAAAAGGAAAAAGGCAAGATTCTCGTGGACGGCCGAAGCCAATAGTGCTTTCGAAAATTAAAACAAGCATTAACGCAAGCCCCTGTGTTGAAATTTCCTGAAAAGGATGAAATTTAGAAATTTCAGCGATGCTTCGGATTATGCGGTAGGAGCGGTACTTTCGCAAAATCAGCAGCAGTAGCATTTTTTAGCCGAACTTTAAATCAAACAAAAGAAACTATTCCGCGACGGAGAGAGCACTTGCAGTTCTGTTAGCATTGCAAAAGTTCCGAGTCTATTTTGGAAAGGCGCCGATACAGTTATTCTGATCATGCGGCGGTACTAGATTGTACTCTGGAAAAAAAATTTATCCCCAAGGTTAATAAGATGGGCACTCAAGCTGCAAGAATATAATCTGGTAATCAAGCATACCCCCGGAAAGGAAAATATCGTAGCAGATGCCCTGTCACGAATTAAATTAGACGAACAGGGTAATACCGTAAAAGTTGCATGCTGACAGCGTGTACAATAATTCCCGAGAACTGTAATAACCGAACTGGGTAAGGATCCTGAGTTTGGA